CGCTGCTGAGCGAAGAACATGACGACGGAGGCTGTTCGGCCTGCAGTGCCGCAGTCCAAAAACCACCCCGGATGAAAGAACCAGCCCCAGGGGAAGGGTCCAGACCTCAGGGGAGCCACGATGCGAACAAAAACACCAAGTCCTGGGGAGTCGGGGCCAGGTTCCGCTGGCCGCGGCCCGGGACCCTTTTACGCTGCATCCCCGGCCGCTCCAGCCAGCACTCGCCGATCCGGCGTGATTCCCTGGGACGATTCACTGGGTCGGTCCCCAGGCAGGCTAGGCCGATCCCCTATGGCGGCGGCGATGGGATCGAGGAGTTTGGGCGAGTTCAGCGGGCAGCGCAAGCCATGAGTGCGACGGATGAACGCTGGTGCCATCACAAGGTGTGGCGTGGCTGTGTCCCTCGTCATCTCCCGCACTCGAAATATCTTGCCGCTGCTCTTGCATGCTTCATCGATCCGCGTGTCACTCAATTGGCCGCGAAATCCAGATCTTTCAGGTGAGCCAGCACTCTGCTTGAGAAAAAAGCCGACTGCTCCGAATTCTGCTGCCATTGCTTTGAGAACGAACTTGTTAACCATTGCCATTGGTTTTGAAGATCTGGGATCGAAGCTCGCGGGTCCAACTCCTCGGATGTGGTTTAAACGATTTGGGAGGCCTCTGGCACCTGTGAGGACCTCCCGAGAGCATGGACAGGACAATGGAGAGCAGAAGGACGAACAGACAACTGGATGGGAGGGGGATAGAAGGAGGAGCACGAGGAGGAGAACAACGAGGATCATGATAGGGGAAGAACTAGAAATATGATGATGCTGCTGCTGCTGCTGATGATGATGATGATGTTGTTGATGTTGTTGATGATGATGAGGAGGAAAACGAGAAAACGCCACCTCGCTTTTCTTGTCCGCCCCCATCGCGGGAAGGAAGGCGGGGAGGAGGCCTCCGTCGGACCCTCTCCCCAGTACCAGTGTAACGCCCCTCGCGGGCTTAGAGCCCAATGTGTTCAAACTTAACGTTTGGAACGCTGTGATGTCTGCTGCTTTCCCTCTCGCGTCCTCCCCCATCCTCCGCCTTGCTTCTTTTGTCCCGCCTGTCCTCCGCTTGCTGTGATATATATATATATATATATAATATATATATATATGTATATATATATACATATATATAATGCATGTATGTGTGTTTATGTATCCCACTAGTCTCCGCATGCACCTGCTTCTTCTTCTTCTCGCCCACGTAGTCTTCCGCATGCCCCTGCTCCTGCTTCTGATCCTTTGATCCTTCTCCTTGGCCTCCTCCTCCTCCTCCTACTCCTCCCTCCTCCCCCTCGTCCCCCTCCTCCTCCTCCTCCTCCTCCTCCTCCTCCTCCTCCTCCTCCTCCTCCTCCCCCTTCTTTCCTCAGCCTCCGAGCGCCTCCGAGCGCCACAGCTCGCGACCGCCCCGAACACCCCGCTCCGCTCCCCGCTTCCCGCTCCCCGCTGGGCTCCCCCCTCCGCCACCCGCGCCCCTGCTCCGCGGGGCGCCCGTGGTGACGAAGGGCAGACGGCGGGGGCAGGCGGGTTGGCATGGTGGCGGGCCGGTTCAGCAGGGACCGACCGTCCTGGCATTCCTAAAACATTTCGTGCGAACCACAAAAGGTTCTTAGAACACTCCGTGGTGGGCCTTTAGGCATGCCAGGACGCTTCGCCACTGCTCGAGATGGGCTGCTTGGCAAGTTTGCGGGCGGGCTGGTTGGGCTGGTTGAGCTTGTCGGGCTCGCTGGTGCTGGCTGGGGCAACTCGGTTTCTGACAGTATCGCACTGAGGCCCAACGGCCGTGCTGGGGGCGCCCGCCCGGGAGGTCGGTTCTCAACGGTACGGTGCCAGTTTCCCCCCACGTGTTCGGGGCGCCCGTCAGGGAGGCCGGGTCCCTACAGTACGGTGCGATGTGCCCCCCCCTGACCGTGCTCGGAACGACCGCCCCGGACCGGAGGCCGATTCTCCGCGATGCGGCGCGATCTGCACCCCGCCGGCCGTGCTCGGGACGCCCGCATGGGAGGCCGGTCGACCACGGTGTGGTGCGATTTGGCCCCTGCCGGCTGCCAGCCTGGTCCCCGGAGGGCGGTTCACAGTCATGTTCGTGCTCGTAAGGAACACTTTCCCCCCCCGTCAGCAGTGACGGAGGGCAGGCGGCGAGGGTTGGCGGATTGGTGTGGTGGCGGGTGGGGCTGATTGGGATGCTTGGTTGGTTTGTGGGTTGGGTGGTTGGGCTGGTTGGGCTGGCTGCTGTGCTGGCTAGGGGCTGTGGCAATTAGTTTCGACCCTGCTCCTCCTGGTCATCCTGCTCCTCCTCCTCCTCCTCCTCCTCCTCCGCCTTTGTCTCCTCTCGGGCGGAAAGCCCCCTTTTCGCTGGCACATGAACGCGCCTCAAATGTGTCGTCGTCGTCGTCGTCGTCGTCGTCGTCGTCGTCGTCGTCGTCGTCGTCGTCATAGTCGGGGCCTGCTTCCCCTACGCAATGACCAACACCACAACCCCCTGCTCTAAATTGCTCCAATCCCAGAGATCGGGAGCGGTCAAGAGGGGGGTGTCCAAGAGGGGGGGGTGACCGGCGGCATGTGCGCGGCCAAGCGGGGGGGCCAGGGAAGAGGCGCCATGAAATCTGGGAAAAAATCATGGCCGACGCCATGATATCCCCCCCCCTAGTCATCACCCCCCTCTTTGCCGCCCCCGGAGAGATCCGATGCCATGCATTTTTTCAATGCGGGGTCCCGGGAAGTCCCGACCCTCTCCCCAGGGCCCGGCTCTTCATCCCGAGCCGATTTGTTGACGGTCCCGGGGCCCAGCGAGGGCCTCTGGAGGTCGAAAATGGCAGACAACCTACGTCTTGATTCTTCAGTGCGTTGGATCTCTGGGGATGCCAGGGTACAACAGCGACCTCGAAGCAGAGGGAGCCGAAGCCAGGAACCCTCGATCACCCATTGGTCCCCTGTGTGCCCTGCCTCCCCACCGTGCTCCTCACTTGTTTTCCCGTAGTCTCCAGCCTGGCCCAGTGTCTGGCGGCGCGCCAGAAGGGGGTGTGGTGGGGGGGAAGGGGGCCCAGACATGATCGTGTCATGAAACAAATCAGGACGGGAGGTTTTTGGCCGATTTAGGCCTCGGGGATTCCCTCGCTGGGCCTCGGGACCGTCAAACAATGATTCGGGATGAAAAACCGGCCCCGGGGGAAGGGTCTGGACTTCTGGGGACGCCACCCGGAACAACATCAGGACGTCGCATGTCTGAGGGGCGAGCGACCTTCCAAGCAGGCAGGCGCAGTCTCGAAAAGGGGTCGAAAGCTTCTGAGAAGGCTCCGTGAGGGCAGCAGAGCTTTCGACGTCGTGGCTCTTCAGCACAGCCGGCCTTGATTGGACAGGACACGCGAGGGGACACAAGACCCTTCCGAGGGCCACATTGCCACAGGAATGTAAGAGGCACGGGGCGCGAGACACCGGACACGAGAGTTCCCTTGATTTGGCAGGGTCGACCTACTGATCCGGGCCGACGGTACCCACACGGCTGCATGCCCCCTGGACGCATGGACCCCTACTGGCCGTCGCTCGGACGTCCATTTCCTGTGCTTTTTTTTGGTTTCGTGCGTGGTTTTTTCGCCAAATGATCAAGGGTGCTCCTCGATGGTCCTCGCCGAAGAAAAAACGCACACGTCCGAGCGATGCCAAGTTGAAGCCAAGTTTCCTGCAAGAAGTACACGTCGGTCGGAAGACGCAGGTGGAAACAGGAAGCAGGAAGGCGGATATAGTAGAGATTGGGTCCAGGCCCCCCCCCAGAGAATAATAACAACACACAGCACAAGCGTGCCGATTATTGCAGTAGGAAGGCGCCTGAAATAGATCGGGACCTGGGAACCCAAAAATACCTACTTTCAACGACCGGTGTGCAGTCTTGTGTGACAATCAAAAGCCCGAATAAGGACGCGCGGTAAGGACGCAAGACCCTTGGAGGCCGAAGCTGGGATCTTTGGGGCGGCGGACGACGAACACCTCAAGGACGCAAGAGCAAGGAAGAGCAAGGACGCAAGGATACCCTGAGCAAAGTCGCGCGTCCTTATTAGGGTTTTTGACTGTAACGTACACCCTGCGAAATGCTTAAGAAATCATGGGTTAAGAATTTCATGGTCTCAGGACTTGAACAAAACCCAGAACTTCTATCAAAATCTTGGGAGTTACATTGAAAAGTTAAGAATAATCGAGACTATGGACGAAAACTTAAGTTTTCTTAAGCATCGCCTGAGGTGTATGCTGGCTTCTCGCATCTCCGTGGTACGTCCGAGGGCCCCCCACCCCCGAACTGCTCCCCGGGCGTCAGACGAAGCCAGGACGAGGACAACATCCGGAGGACGATCGAGCGAGGATCTCTGAGATCCCTCGGCTGTGGGAGATGCATCGGGCGCCGCGGCCTTCCGAGAGCGTTCGGGCATGCTCCGAGAGCGTTCCAGACGCTCCGGAAGGCCATGGGTTAACGGATTTGGCCCCCGTCCTATAGCTCCACCCGGTCCCCCCTCTGAACTGGTTTCCAGAGGTCGCGTGGTTAAAACAGGGCTAGGATCGGGATAAATCGCTCCAGAGCGTTCCGGAGCGCTCTCAGAGCGTTCCGGAACGCTCTGGAGCGGCCGCGGCGCCCAAGACATCCTCCAAACCCGCCGATTCTCAGAGATTTCGAGTTACCCCGATCCGATTTTGTCCCGATCTTCGCGTCGTTTGAGTGGTGAACGTTCGGGCCACAGCTTCGATGGCAACCCATCGCCTCGAGCACCGGGTCGGATCGGCACGCGCGTCGGAGTGGGCGCCGCAGCGGCACGGGGCCGGGATCGAGTCGAGCCGGCCGCGCCACGAGGCACAGCAGCAGCGCCGCGCAGGCACCGGGCCGCATCAGATCGCCAGAGCGTCGGGATCGAATCGGTTCGGGCCGACCGGATTCGGTACCGACTCGGAGCGCTCGGATCGTCGGCAGGAACCCTGCAGGGGCGCCCCAGAGGAGGCCCAGGAGCGCCCAGCAGCCTCTTTGCTCGAGCCTGCCTTCTTGGAGTGCCGCCACCCCCCGCGACCTCGCCCTGGCACACCCCCTTCTGCGCGCCGAGGGCCGCGGGCGCGCTGAGAGCCTCGGGTCCGCCCTCGCGCGGCGGCGCCCTCGCTTGGCGGGGGGAGGAGCCACCGGCACGAACACAACAGCAACCTCTCGGAGGCCCGCACGGCCTTCCTGGATCGGCGCTGTGCCCTCCTCCGAGGGCGCGCGCAGCGCGCCAGGGGAGGCACCGGAGGCGTACAGTCGGGGCCTTGACCTAAGGAACCCTAAATAAGGAACGAGGCCCCTGTTTCCATAAGTTAAACTTCGAATTCGTATCGAAAACCTAAGGAGAACCTAAGGCAAGCTGCGAAACAATTAAGGAACACGGAGCCCCTCCCCAACGAAAAGGGTTCCTTACTCAAGCCGCTCACTGTAGCCGAGGGGGCCCAGACGCCGATCCAAGAACGGACCTCGACCTCCGCCAAAGGTGTTTGTTCATGCTCGTGCCGATCTGCTCCTCTTCAGTCCGCAGCGCCGGGCGGGCGGCTATGCGGTTCAGCTCCTGCCGATGAGGCGCCACAGGGGACCGCGACTCGAGAGCCACTGCACGTCCACGCCGTTGGGCCTCAGGCGGCCCATCGCCTTCCACTTCGCGTAGTCTTCCTTGGTGAACTTGGTGAAGCCTTCGTCTTCGTTGTCGTCGTTGTCGTCTCTGTGGTGGTGGTCGTCGTCGTCGTCGCCGACGCCGTCACCGTCGCCGTCGCCTTCGCCGTCGAATGTCACCGTCGCCGTCGCCTTCGCCTTCGCCGTCGAATGTCACCGTCGCCAACGCCGTCGCCGTCGCCGTCGCCGTCGTCGCCGTCGTGGCCGTCGTGGCCGTCGTCGTCGTCGTCGTCGTCGTCGTCGTCGTCGTCGTCGTCGTCGTCGTCGTCGTCGTCGTCGTCGTCGTCGTCTCTGTCAGCGCCGTAGTAACTGGAGACGTGGATCTTCTGGCGGCCGGCGAACTTGAACTTGGAGAGGCGGAGCGCCTCCACCGCAATGGGCAGCTTCTCCTCTTTGGTACGGACCGAGAGGAGCACCTGGCCGATCCTCACGCGCGCCGCTGTACCGTAAGGTTTGCCGAACGCCCCGCGCATGCCGGTCGACAGGCGGTCGGCGCCTGCGCACGACAGCGTCTTGTTGATGCGGAGCACGTGGAACGGATGGGGGCGCACCTTAATGTGGTAGAAGTCCTTGCCCGCGTTCGTGGACATGTACTTGTTGGTGGCGATGCGGGCCGCCTCGAGTGACTCCGAGGTGAGCTGCTGCATCTCATCGCAGACCATGTGCGCCGCGCAGGGGAACTCCTCGCACGGAATCTTCTTCTTGCCTGTGTCGAAGATCCTGCAAAACGCAAGGATATCAATACCCAGAGCTCTCCATGGGCGCGTTCTGACCAGGATCGCGGGGAGAATCAAGCCTTGGCGACGAGGGCCGCCCAGGAAGCCCAAGAAGGCGAAACCGACGGGATGGCATCGGAGTCGGCATACATTTTCCTCCGAAAGAGGAGGGGCCAGGATCCGCACAAAACTGGTCTCCCGATCCGTCCAGGGGTCCATCCTTGCCAGATTTTCGAGCTGAGTCCAGAGTTGAGCAAGAGAAGTACCCCTATCCTTTGGGAGGGGACCTAAGTTCGGAGGGCCAGCCAATCACACTTGGGATATTTGTCCCAACCATCCTGTGGTGTTGGGTCCTCGTTTTCAAGAGACAGCGCCCCGCGTTTCTCTCCTCCTCTTCACCCTCCTCCCTTCTTCCCTCCCTGCCTCTGCTTTCGGCATCAGTCTACCATGTCGGCACACCCCTCACACGTCGCGTGGCCCCATACGGAGCTCCACCAAGGGTCCCAGTTCTACCGCCCGCATGCGCCCCCCCACCCATTGCAGCGCTGCGTGTCCCCATAGGGAGCTCCACGAAAGGTCCCAGTGCTACCGCCCGCATGCGCTAACGCCACCCAATACAGCGCTTCGTGGCCCCATAGGGAGCTCTACCGAAGGCCCCAGTGCTACCGCCCACATGCGCCCCCCCACCCAGTGTAGTCCTTCGTGGCCCTATAGGAAGCTACACCCAAGGCCCAAGTGGTACCGTCCCTATGCCTCCCACCCACCCAGTGCAGCGTTCCGTGGCCCCACAGGGAGCTCCACCGAAGGCCCTTGTGGCAAAGTCCGCATGCGTCCCCCCCACCCAGTGCAGCGCTTCGTGGCCCCATAGGAAGCTCCACCGAAGGCCCCAATGGCAAAGTTCGCATGCGCCCCCACCACCCAGGGTCTCGTGGCCCATAGGGAGCTCCACGGCCAGGCCCCAAGGGGGAAAGTTCGCATGCGTCTCCCCCACCCAATACCGCGTTTAGTGGCCCATAGGGAGCTCCACCGAACCCAATACCCAGAACTGCGGTATTCACAACTGCTTATGGTTGGATCTTTCGCCAGGCCCAAGTTTGCATATATGTCAGAAGAACCAGCCCATATGTTGAGGGATCTCCCTGAAAACCGTGGACCTAAGTTAGGTCACGAGATCGTTGTGCTATTCGGATTAGGGGTTGCATCATGCTTCATGAAAGAAGCGGGGAACCAGAATTGCGAAACGAACGCGTCGTCATCTCTGAGGTCCTCATCTTGGGGTCTGGCACGCCGCGCACGAAGCGCGACTTGGGCCACGGCTTGCCCTTGCAGTAGCGGTAACAACGCGCAGGACGGCGTCCCATGGACGCGCGTGGGCAGCCGTCGGCCGGCGAGCGAGGCTGTCTGGCGGATCCACTCTCTTCGGAGCCCGCGGCTGCGAAAGCCCCTCGACGGCGACGAGGAGGGCGGAGGATGGAAGGACCAGGGCGGCGGGAACAGGCGTGCGTCGATGGACGGCCTCGGTATCAGGAGGAAAGAAGGGAGGGGCAGGGATGTGGAGGAGGAGGAGGAGGAGGAGGAGGAGGAGGAGGAGGAGGAGGAGGAGGAGGAGGAGGAGGAGGAGGAGGGGGAGGGGGAGGGGTTGCGAGTTGCGAGCTATCCCACGTGGTGGCCGATACGAACTACGAGCGGCGCTGCTGCTCAGCCTTGCTGAGCAGTTTCGGCCACTTCCCTTCATGAAATCTGGCCAGATACTCCCTTCTATGGGGTGCGATTTGGCGCGTGCATTCCTTGGCCAACTCTCGCAACTGGGAGTGTGCGAAGTAGCCACACTGAGTGCAAAACCAAACCCTCTGCATTCGAGACAAACGCATTCTATGGGACCCCTCGACCCAACCCCCAGCTATATGAAGCCGCCCCCCCTCAGGTATGGAATCATATCCTTCACATACGTGAACAGGCTGAAAGCATGGGGAAGGGTGCCATTCGGACGCTGTGGCCCTGCTAGCAGATCCCCAACACCTAGTACATCTATGTCTAGTCTCATCCAGACAATGCTCCGAAACGAACGCACGAACAAACGAAGGACGGGGAGGAGGAGGAGGAGGAGGAGGAGGGCCCCTCTCCCTCACGCGCGCGGGTCCGCCACGCTCCTCGACGCTCATGCTGTCCAGCGTGGCACGGAGGAGCCTCATCCTCACGTGCATCGCCTTGCGCTCAGACTGGAAGACGGCCGCTCGAACCTCGTCGGCCACTCTCCCAGCCTCGGCCGCCTGCGCGGCCAGTTCATCAACACATGTATTTCCAATGGCAAGCCAGGCGGGGGTCCCCGAAGTGACAACCTGTTCTCCAGTGAGGTGCGAATTCACGAGCAGGACTGACATTTGGCCCAATCGGGCCTCCAGCTCACCACCGATTTTGTGCCACAAATCCTTATTGGCCCCTGTGGGCCTCTCATGCCTTCTTTCGTGGAAGCCCTTGGCCACAGCTTCGCAGTCAGTAATATATACCAGGTGCTCGGCCGTGCACGTGAGAGCTAGCAAAAAGGCACGTAACTCTCCTCTGGGCGCGGACTGATCTTCGCCAGCGAGAGGTCCTTTGACCGATGCACGTATACAACAAGGGTCATATGAACTCAACGTAGTGATCGCCGTACCGATCCTTCGAAACCTGGGGCCCCCAGAGTCCTTGCCTCCAGAAGCGTCTCCGAAAACAACCATGGGTTGCGTATCAGTCCCCCTGCCCAAACAATGCTGAAGCCGAGCTGTTTGTGCCGATCAAACTCCAGGCTTCCTCTACTGGCGGTGGTGGAATACGCGCCCGCGCCGCTGGAATGAGGCCTCGTAGCCAAAAGCAAGAGTCGGCTGCATGCTGAGCGAACGCTGCGCTGATTAAATATTCAGAGTCTTCGTGCGCCTTGGAACCTCGATTCTGCGAACACTCCCAAGTTATATGGAACTGTGTCTCTGGTTTCTCCTGGCACCTGGCACACAAAACATCGCGATCCCCTGCCATCTCATCATGTCGCCTCTACCGGGGCCAAGATCCTCCTGACGCAATGGAGACCATGAGCTCACTGACCCTGACCCCCTGACGCACAGTCTGTAGTTGCCGCAACAGCCTGCGCAAGGACAAATTATCGACGCCGCGCTGCATTCCTTCTCCGCAAAAATGGCGCGCAGCTTCGCGCCACTGTTTAGCCTGAGTGGTTTTGGTGAAATCCTGAAGCAGCGGACCTGGGTCATCACCCAGAGTGTTTCCAGAAAGCTCCGAAGGATGAAATTTCCAAGCCTCCAGGTCGCCCTCGTGGTCTGCTGGGGCCCTCCAGTGCCAGGGCGTCTCTGGTGCCCAGCCTGCCTCCAGAAGATGCAAAATGACCGCTCCGTTCGGCCCCCCCCCCCCCCCCACCAACCGTGAACGTTGCCACGCGGGCGCCTCTCGCAGGCGCTGCAAAAGATGCGGCCATGCACGAGCGATGCCTGGCCGCATGGCAGGGATAGTCAGATACTGCTGCAGCCAGAGAGCCAGACATGCCCGAGGAAGTGTATAACCTGGATCCCCTCCTGGACTACGAAGATCGAGAAGTGTGGTTAAGCATCGCCCCCGTTTGCCTGGCCCACAGACAGACATGGCCCAGCTGGCGGTGGCAACGCAACATGGCACTGCCGAAAACTCCATGCAACTGATGGCCGTACATCTCGGCGGCCATGGTGCCAGCTCGCGTGAGCCTGCTGGTGATGTGACATCGTTTAGCTGCCCTTGCGAACTTGACCACCTTGCTGTGCATGCTTGCTGCCTTTGCCACCCGCTTATTGCGCTGCTGACGTACATGACGTTTTCCCCCACCCAGATCAACTCCCACGTGCCCAGCACGGCTACACGGCTTGACCTCACATCCAGCCAAACGTAATTGTTTTGAAATACCCTGGGCGTCTTCTAAATGAGAACATAGCACAACACTTTTGGGCGAAACTCTGAGACCCTCGCGCGCGAGCTGGCGACATGTGTCCATGAGGCCGCGCACAAGAGACTCTCGGAGACTGCGTCTAGATCCCTGGACTCGCTGGGACAAGTCGTCGATCCAAATACGTGTCCCCAAATATGGATGGGCTGATGTGATACGAGATATAATATATTAAGCAAGGCATCGGGCTAACCTAGTGCCCCCACGGAGGCCTTGGGCGATAGAATGAGTAGGGTATATGGGCTCCGAAAATGCCCCACCTTGTCCCAGCGCCCTCGGCATGATACACTGGAGCAGCTCGAGAACCAGACTGACTGGAGGACACCCCAGCCGAATGGCTGTGGGGGATGAGATAGAACCACTCCATCGCGTCATAAAAACCTTGAATATCCAAGAGCCCGTGCCCTGTTGAAATACTTAATTCTCATGAAATCTCCTCCTCACAAACCCTCCTGAATTCTTCGCAAAGGGCCGCGTTGCCAGTGATGGCTGCGTCCCACATGGGCTCGGACTCCGCAGCCCAAGTCTTAACATGTGGCTCGCGAGCGAGACTTCACATTCTAGCTGTCATTGACAAGGGTCCAATAACTCTGTCCTCAGAAACCTTTCTGGGTAAAAGCCGACCGATAGTGAGGCCCAACTGGGCAGGCCAAACCAATGTTTCCTCGATGACCCCGTAGAGTTTTGAAGGTTCTGCCAATGCTGCGTCGGGCATCCGCTCGACGCCTGTCGGACTTAAAACATCCACTCCTTGACCCGCTCGCGCTCGCATGGTGTGAGCGGCTTGTCTGATGTCGGACACTGAGAGTGCATCGAGAGGATCAGCTCGCGCTGCAACTCGCGCGGTATCGAAAGCTCCCAGGGCTCGCACATCGTGATACTCGCTCGACTTAGTCCAGAGGTCCCGAAATGGTTTCGCCCGCTGGTCAACCACGTCCTTGGGCTGGAACAACACTTGGGAACCCTGGATGATTTCCTCAGCGGGTACTGGGTTTGGCTTCATAGCTTTGTGCAAGATTCCTGGCGCCCCTGCTCCCACAATCCACTCCTTGAAATCGTGAAGAGCGGGGCGCAAGGCGCGCCCTCGGCAACTTGAAGCAATCTTCTTAGCAGGCGCAACAAACAAAGCGAGCGTATCTTGATCGACGCGCTTCGTACTCGCGGTTAGAATAGATTTCCAATCGTCCCAGGACGGATCGGACCCCACACGAAGCCCACGATGCCCTTGCTCAGGAGATTGCTCACCAAGTTGCTTGCACGCTTGCTCTAGCTGCTGCTACTGCTGCTGCTGCTGAATAATACCATTAGCTCGAGCTCTATGCTTGTGTAGCCGCTGAAGAACCGCGTGCGTTTTCCCCCACCAAGATGTGAGCCAAT